TTATAGTTCATAAAAAATGAATAAGTGTGCAAATGAGGGCATCGCGTTTTAACGGTAATTAACTTTTCACACGTTAGAAAAATAAATAAAATCCCAATACGTTACACATCCGCGACGCGCGTGAACACGCGACTCACTAACGCGGAATGGACCGTCCGCGTCGCGATTTGTTCGTGGATACAAAAAAAATTCGCGTTTAACGATAACCAAACCGTCGTCCGCGCGACGAGTCGCGCGGTATGCGCATCGGGATTGTCGTTTCGCGAACCGTATAATGTACGCCGCGTCCAAAAACGCGTCATTCAGACTGTATACACGGCGCGATTGTTGACAATCGCCGTGGCGAAAACGCGTAATATCGTCGTATTTTCTACTTTATTAATATCGCGCCCTCACGATCAATTCGGGCTAGTGTTTCTGATTTCTCGACATTTTTTATTTCTCGAGAAAGATAAATACAATTTCGCTAATTCTCGAGAAATCTCGAACATTCTCGAAAATTATATTTAATAAAAAAAGATGTAATTCAATTTTAGGTCACGTATTTATTATTGCTTAACTTTACTAATTCTATAAATTATACATATATAAATTTTATAAGTATAAAAACACTTAAAAATAAAATATATTTGTACTCAGTCTTTTAACACTCTTATGAATTAATTTAAATATGTAACTTTTTAAAAAACATTTCAATTAGTAATTATAAGATGAGAAATAAAATATTTGTTTTCTCAATAAACAGTAATAATAAATATTGGACATTGGACATTAACGAAGGAATTTAACTGTAAATAATCAAAATAAAATATTTATTTTTCTTTTAAAAATTATTTCTGTGATTTGAAATAGCTTTTTAGAAAACACAGAGCATCTAGCGTTGTGTCTGCCATTCAAAATCTTCTTTGTGACAAAATCATTGGCAATGGAAAAATTGCGCTCATTTTGTAGAAGTCGGTTTAATTGTAGACGTTGCATTAACAAGTTTTTGCAAATTTTGAGTTTTCGTGCCAGTTATTTCAAATATACTAAATTCCTTCGTTAATGACCATTTATCATCACTTAGATTGAAATTCTTTCAAGTTTTCCGAGATTGACAATTTTAGTTGTTGTTCCAACGACAATTCTTAATTTTCGATATAAACTAATTTAATTGCCATTGTCATTTTCGTTAGAATCATTGATTTTATCGTTATATTCTTCAAAAATATATTGGAGGGCGCTTGTTTGAATTCTCGAGAAACAACAATAATTTTTCGAGAAGTATGAAATTTAAATCTATTGTATTTCTCGAGAATTTTTCGAGAAAGAATTGTCAAGAAGAAACACTAATTTGGGCTATCTATGTATAATTCGGGAACCGAGCGAGAGGGATCACCTTTTGGAATTTCAAATTGATAGATTTTGGAATGATTTTGGAACTTAATATAATTTCAAATATTAATATGCCTTCCGTACGTATGCCATTATATTTTAACAATGACCTGGATTCAAATTTCTAGTAAATACCGAGACGCTAAAATAATCTCTAATGTATGTACAAAATGAAGAGCCAGCGAGTTAAGTGTCACAAACGCGAATAAATGGAGTAATGGAAAGCCATTCTCTTTAATTCAAAGTCGATCCACTCTATTTCCACGGAAAAATCTAATTACGCGCGCTTAATTGCCAATGATAACAAATTTCTCGGAAGATGGAGCTTCTTTTCAATAATTTAACCTTAAATCGAGTATACCCTCGATACGAAATTATCCTACGAAACTGTGCTCACTCGTGACAGTCACGGATCCCAGGGACTCAAGTTTCATTGGTATCCGGACAGATCCGTCTCTAGGACGCGTAGGTACCCTCCCCGTGGACCGCGATCGCCGCCGCCGTCGCGGTAATGCGCGGTATCGTCGCGCGATATACAAATACACAATGCATCGGCGACTGATATATACGTATATATATATATATATACATATATATATATATATATACGTGTACGCGCTTATATGTGCAATACATAATCGCGGCGAGTGCGTACATACAAACGGGCGCGGGGCGTAGTGTGTGCGGCGCGAGTGTAACGACGTCACCGAGCAGTATCTCTGTTACGCCTGGATTGCCGTGGACTGTGGCCGCGCGCTCACGCATCGCTTAACATAATCCCCCATTCGACCGGGACTACATAGATTACGGAATGATACCTCCGACGGGCGCTGGTACAATTATATCGGGCGCGGTATTGTATATTCCAGTGTCGCGATGCGCGTGAGCTTCGCGCCGCGCCGCGCGCCGTGCGCGCGTGCATTTCCGAAGCGAGATAAAGGGGCGGTCAAGGTGTTTCGATATCCAGATGGATGATTTCTACGAGGCAAATCCAGGCGAGAGAGGAGGAGGGTGCGAGAGGGGTGGGGGTGGGGAAGGAATTACCGAGAGAGAAAGATCGGAATGTACCACCGTCCGTTTTTTCCGGATCGAATTGATGGTCGATTCGACAACCGGGGGTCATATTGTTAACAGTAATTTCCCGGAAGAAAAAAAATGTGCCGGCGTTCACATTTATTAACAGTGGAAAGCTTCTTTTTACCTTAGGAAATTAAGAGTCAGGAACGCGAATCCCCTTTCCCCCCCTTCCCCACCTAGTACTCCGTTAAAATACCATCAGGATCGCGCAGCCTCGCGATTCGCATTCCGTTTATTCCGTGAAGGCATTCGTCGGCCCCGTATATATATATATATATATATATATGTATATCGGCATTTGAGAACGGGAAAAATTCTGCGGGACGTTTAATTGGCGAATAATAATGTCTCGGCGTACGTGATAATTAAAAATTGCCAACAGCGCTTTAACGGCAAAATGTATGTATACCCTTAATTAAACGGAGAAGGAGGAGAAGGGACATTTAATGTATACGCATATATAGAGTATTTCGTCGAATTTTCACGAGGCAATAATATGTCGTCACGACGGATCGGACAGTTCGAAGTTGATATAAATTTTATCGGAGCAACAATGCTCGCTGATCTGCAATAAATTTAATTTTGGTCCATATAACTGACAACCCCGCGCGCAATAAAATTCGTACAAAAGCATGCGGCACCGTTCCTTGTCATTTGTGTGTCAAACGCGGTACAAAAGTCCACTTTTTACGAAATGTCCGCGCATTTTCAGAAAATGCATCGCGATGCGTGACACCCACATATTTATTCGCGCGTATCACGCAGCGCGATCGAGATATATTTCAGTCCTGACGCGAGGCATTTCACCTCCGTAATTTCGCTAATAATTTTATTAGAGTTTTTTTCCCGAAACGAATTTTTGTCGGAGGCATGCGAGATTATATACGTTGTTTTTTTTTCTTCGATCCACGAGAAATTCTCGATGACTCTTACGTCATTGCGTCGCTGCCGTGCTATTTCGAGGAGTCGCGAAGCGAGCCCCCATTTTTCACGTGCCGGGGCATTAATCAAATTCTCCCTCCGTTTCTCTGGAGAGATCTCTCCTGGACGTCTCCTCAGTACGTATAACGTGTTGGTCTCGAGGTGCGTCGAATTATTATAAATGTAAATCTACACACGCCGAGAAAACGCGCAATTTTCTTGCACGTTTGATTATCAAGTTTATTTTTATATTTACGGAACAACGAGTCTTGAAACTGAAAGAAATATTTATCTTGATTTTTTTCGACACAATATATCGCGGCATACATTTGTTAGAAACATTCTAAAACAAATGATTAAAGCAATTCCCGTGGTTTTTTATCGTATCATATAATAATACTAAAATAATAACAATAATAATTTATTTATTGATATGCAGTGACTAGAAAGAAAAGCAGTTCTACAGTAATACAGCAAGACGCAACATACCTCAAATTGCACATCAAAGGTGAGATATTAGAAACAATACTTGTTTGAGAACCTAAACCTGTGTACCTAAAATTAAAGATGAGAAGATATTGGATTTAGAACGCAGTGTAAGACGTATAGTGGTGTATAAACATGTATAACGATTAGTAAATAGTACATAATAATAATTTATAATAATAATAAAAAATCAAACAACTAAATATAAATATCAAAAATAAAGGCTAAATTATAATTATAGACGTTAAATGTAACAAATATAAATTAAAAAACACAATTAAATAGAGAAAAGTCTTTAACGATCAAAGTGGGATCTTAGTGCTAATAATTCTGTGTTAATTCTAAATACATTTTTCAGTTATTTAAATTAAAAGAATAATGGAAGAAATAGTAAATTGAAAAAAAAAACGGCGAACTAAAACGTAATAGAGGATCATAAGCAGATAAAAGAGTAGCTTACAATAATAATGCTGAGAAAACTAAGAGAGAAATAAACTAGAAAAATATATAATGCAAAAATGAAAAAAAATGTGACGCACGTATACAGTCTTGGCCATAAGTATAAAGCATCCTGAATTTATTACGTTTTCTTAGAAAAGACAGTAATAAAAGCCAAAGGACTAACAAAGTATTAAAATTGTTATAAAAATGAATATTATTTATCCATAAAACTGTTTTCTAATTTATTTCTCTTTTAATATAAAACGTTTACGTCAATTTAATGGTATTTTATACTTGTGCCCAAAGCTTGCGGTACATATATCGCGCTAGTCATAAAAAAGATATTTCGTGGGATCACAAAAATTGTCACGGAGAATGCGACGTTACATGTATAACTCAACAACAAGTAAAATTTATTCGAGTACTATCTCATCTCTGTTCAGAAATTATCTCAAATACTTTCAGATGTTATCCGCGGCACGTCGTGGTAACATTAATATTTAGGGCTTATCGGTATCGCGGCTTGTCGATTAATATATGTCGGCGTCGCCCGCTCTTTCTAGATGCCCGTTTAAATTTTAAAACTCTGGTAGTAACTGAGAGACCGAGCGGAGCACAGTGGCTTATCGATCCCGCGCGCGTGTGAAAACGATTTCATAGAGAATTATACGACGTACCATAACGAAGAACAGACTTTATCGAGCACAGCCAGGGTATTTTCAGCGTATCATCTGCAGGAGCGAGAGAGCGGGGCCGTTTAATAAGAATAAAATTACGTAATACCTCGCGTGTCGTTGTGAAAATCTCTCAATCCGATTCGCGCGACGATCGGCCGTCCGATCGACGGGCGGTACATAAAGCACAAATCGGAATCCATTTCAGATCGGAGGGGTAGATTAGCGTGTCTGTCGGTCGTAAACCAGTTACCCGTTACCAGTCGCCCGTGATTCGCGAGCACATTTCCTGCCCATCAGCGCCCCATAATCCGCGCGCGCTCGGACGCGGGTCCGCAAAAAGCGCGCTCCCCGCGCGAGAGATACGGCGACGATGATACACTTTAGGAGTTTCCGTGCGTTCTCCCGCGGCTCCTCTCCATCGCCTATATAGCTCCGCCGCGCCAATCGTCGACGACCCCCGTTTTCCTCGGAGGTGAACGGCGCGACGACGCGACGGTGGTTCTTTTCCTGCAGCGCAATGGGGGAAGAAGGGGTGGGACGTCTTAATTCGCTGTCTGCGGCACGTAGGGGGGCATGTAGGGCCCCGTGAGAATGTACTGCACCGCCACGACCATCAACTGCGGCGCACTCCATCTGATGATGTATGCGCTTCCTGAAACAGAAATGCATTTCGCGTGTTACTCGGCAGCCGTTACGCACGAGGCTTCTACAGGCTGGGCGCGAGTTTATATATATACGGGGTGGCCCAGGTGCGCCCCGTGATTTCCTTTACATGAGGTGTGTGTGTCTTCGATTAATGCGGAGTTCATATTTTCTTAACCGGACTCGTCGGAGCTGGTCCGACAGCCCTCCGTAAATAAAAATTTATGAAATCCGAGCGAGTTGAGTTTCGAGAGTGCGCGGCCTTATTTCGAGGCATCGTTTTGTGAAAAAAAAAGAGAGATAAATAAATAAAAAAAGAACCGTCCTCAAGTCGCCATGAAATTCATGGTACTGTGATAAGGGGTCTCTTGCGAGGACACCCTGTATATATTAGATGATCCACCTGAGGCTGCCACACCATTCTTCTTCACGCAAAGAGGAAGTAGGCGGGTGGGTTCCCTATGGAAATGCCGTTTCGACCGTTTAACGTTCTCGCTCCTACGCGCTTCCTTTCGTCCATCTACTTTAACTCGGGAATTCTCCCCAAGCTTATTATGTCATTTTTCAAAACAGTACCTTCTTTATTGCAATTTTCGTGTGACAGAAATGTTTCTGCTTTTCTCGATTCAATTTGAATTTCTGATCAGGAACTACGCTTCCCGTCGAATTGGGAATCACCAATATTCTTTCGATCGTTCCATTTTTGCCATTCGGAGGTAGGTTTCAATATAACGACACGTTCAGAGATCTATAATTCTATGACTAAAAGATGACGAAAGAAAATTTTTTGGTACATCGATTCCTGGTTTCTTAATGTACACAGAAAAAAATAATGTTGTATTAACAACAATCAGCCAACGGCAGTCTAATTGAAAATAATATTATTTATTTAATGACAGTATTAATTAAACGTATAACATTTTATTAAAACAAAAGCACGGCGTATTTGTTTATCTGTTATGGATCGGTGATCCGGCCATTTGAGGTCACTCCCTTACATATCCCTGTACATATCATACAATATATGAGCGAGTACTGACTACTGAATATGAAAGATTTTATTTGAAGTGGAAACTTCTTTTTCGTGATTTGTTCGGATGAGCTCTGTGACATAAATTCCTCCTTCACTAGAGGTTACTAACCTTTTGAATTTTAAAATGCATTTTCAGATTACATTCAAATTCAGCGATACCGAGAATCCCCTAAAACTAAGTTTTACGATAATCAGATTTTTTTTTTAATTCGATCAGCAATAATTTTTTTTAAATTAGGTCCACCATTTTAAATTAAAAAAATTCTAAGGGCAGAATCGATTTCGAGTGACCTCAAAAAATAAGACCGTTCATAAGTCATTTTTCATTGGAAAACTTCGATCTTCAAAGAATTAATACACGCAAAAAGGACAAGGATAGTATGAAAAACATACTATACATAATAATAATAATAAAGTAATATCTATTCATCTAAACTTTTCTTGATATTATAAGCCCCTTTGATATAAAATATTTGTAAAAGTTTACGATGTGAGTGCTGTATAAATTGACGAAGTTGAGATAATACGGCTCGGTAGTGCATGCTCTCGTACTAATATTATCTATTTATAAATTATAAATTACAGTGAATTATTTATTAGAAGTGTCACGCCAGAATGTTTTGTCGTCACGTTAGTAAGTCATCTACCTTTGCTTCCATTTTAAAAGCAGCTGAACGCAAATGTCATCCGCGCAAACACATCGTACCCGTGTACTTGCAAAATATGTTGGCCGTAGAATACGTCGGTGTCACTCGCCGTGTACGATATTTGCATATCTCCCTCAACATTCATTTACATGCTGAAACGCACGAAAAGACTGTTCCTCGCTCCTGTAATATCACAATATCAACGTCCCGCGGTACATTTTAACGCGATTCGAAAAGCGTAACACCGGTATCGCGCGGAATCGGTTGAGAAATCGCGCTTGTAAAATATTTTCAAGACGATGCTCGCGAATCTACGATGTTAATGCCTCTCGGAGACTTGCTGCGATCGGGCTGTAAAATAACGAGCAATCGCGAAGGCGTACTATTAAGGCGACGAATAATTTATATACCGTGAACGCGCTCGGGAAATCAGTAGGGCGTCGCTAATAGCTCGCAGTACCCGGGGGAGCTTACGATTAATCTGATTAATCAGCTCGATATGTGCCAATAATTAATCACATACTATGTAGGATGATTAGATGTTTAGGTTAGATAATTTTTAATGTATAAGACATCTTACACACAATATTTTTCACAGATATAATTCTTAACGTATGTGTAAAACCAGCTTTGATCATAAGTAAATATAAAACCTTCACAAATTGATAAATATAAAACACCCTCACAGAAACGTTCGATGTCTAACGAAAAATAAATTGGAAAACCGTTTTATTGAAATAAAAGCTTTTATTTTCATAACAATTTTTATATTTTGTCAATTCTTCTTTGACTTTTATTACCACCTTTTCCAATAAAATGTAATAAATTAAGGGTGCTTTATACTTATGGCTAGGGCTGTATACATTGTCAAACGGAGTAATCTATGAGGACGTCCTTTGCTTACACAGAATTCTCAAAGTTTATCTTCTGATAATTAAATTGACTTCAAGCTTGCAATCTCTCGCCCATGTGCATTACATGTTCCGCAAATGAAGCAGGTTAAGGCATTGAAATCTCTCGTTAAAGTATATACACATACGCATACGAATATTTACATCTTAAATCCAATGCATACTTTAAAGTCGGTTATATTTCGTATAATTTGATTTACGCCACTTGCGAAGTAAACGGCTGGCTTAATCTCTTTTTTCCAGAATTCAAAATTATTTTACAAAGTTTGTTTTATCCTAATAATTACGTGCGGTTAGGTTAAACGGCGACTATATAGAAATTAGCCATGCGAAACTTTAAATCTCGTTTAGAAATTTCACGGTCTATATTTTCGCGATACGTTTCGACTGGCATCGACGAGAACGCGTATGTGTGCTAGCTCGTGAGAGAAAACTATATGCAGCTTGACTCTGCAGCGCGCGGGATGGGGAGGACGGGCTGAAGGCTCCTGGATAAGCGAGAGAGACCGGAGTTTCTAGCGGAACTTTTCGTCCCAAAATCCCCCGGGTGTGTCTCGAGTGCCATCCCTGATCCTGGCCTCAGCCAAGCGAAACTACAGCGGAGAGATCTCTTCGCTTTTTCGATAGACATGCGCCATCGGGATGCACCGATGCGTTTGTCGGAGTATTGCGCAACGCTATCCGGGATTATCCAAGAGATGCCTTTCGAGTTCTAGACATAATTCTCGCGCGATTAATTGTGAAGATTCGTCCAGAACCTTCTGCGCGGCGCGTTTCCGATCTCAACAGAGTCTGTTTATTTAAGATATATCTCTTAAATTAATTACAATGTAATTAGGATAAGTAATAAATTAATAATAAATAACAAATTTTCATTAAGTTCAAAAGAAGAAAGGTATGAGTTTCTTCGTTTGATCTTTCTCCTTCCATTCTAAGTTTTACAAAGAAATACCTACATAAATTAAAACGAAGACGAAACACGTATATAAACAATGTATATAAAATAAAGATTATATAACCGTATCCATATATCTATACGGTTGGAAAATTTGTATTAAATTTAATTCATCTCGCACATGTCCCGAACGATCTACTCAAATTTTTGTGTTGATCTAACACAAGATGTATAAATTACACAAATATTATGCAAAAATTAATACAAAAAGGTAACACTGTAAAAAACAATTTGGAAATAAAATGTGGAAACCTATTTCTTTAGTAAAATTAATACTTATAATATGTTAAATTATCACGTTAAATGATCATTACATTCATCATTTATTTATTTATCTTAGAATACTTTTTAATTTTCTACACATTATTTTGTATTTATTTATTAATAAATAAATTATTAAAAGTAATTATTAAAAGTATTTACTTATTAATAAATAAATACAAAATTATTAATAATTTACTTCATAAATTGTATTATTTTAACACAAGAAACGTATTAAATATTTATTTAAAATATTCAAATACATATTAGCATAAACATCTCGACTCACAAGCCTTTTGAGTTGTATTTGAATTTTTATTGTGATAAGCCTTAATTATGTTAAATTAAATTCTAAATTTCAAATAACATAATCACATTATGTCAAATTAAAAACTCGGATATGTTAAAAGTTCAACATAAAAATTTAAGCATATATGAGCGGACCGCTTTTAATATAAATACAAAATATTTTCTACCGAGCAAGAATTTATTTGAACGTAATTCGTGAAAAGCCGATTTGTCACACGTACGATTCTAAATTGGCATCGCATAACAATTCCAATTTCGGAGAATCGCTCCAGGTCAAATCGAATTTTACGACAAGAAATCGTGGAATATACATGAGCACATACGTATAAGTAAAACAACACATGACGCACAAAATGTATTTTACGATATCTGTCTCAGCTGTCTCTGTGCAATATCGACAAGAGCTTTTTCCTCCAACTAGTGCTTACGCATTTATTTCACGGGAGTACCATCTATACCGTCGCGTCGTGTATATCATTGTTATCGTTTCCCCCGTTGTTATCACCCCGACCGAGTCAATAATGGTTCTTCAGAGCAGCTACGTGCTACGCGGATAATCTCAAATTGGCCGCGGAAAAAGGGCGAAAAGGATGGCGCAACCCCGTTTTCCCATCTCCCCCTCCGGCCCTTTCTCTCCCGGAATGTTTCCATAAGATTTTATTTACGTTGCGGTGCCTTGATTTATCGCCGATCCGGCTCACGCGTTCGCGTTCGCGCCACTATATTTCCCCGTATACGAATCCGCATACGGAAGTGTATACCGGGAAATATATCGGTCGTTCCAGCGCCACCGTAGATGCAACGGGGAGGCGGGGGAGGTGGACGGTGGGTGCCGCCTGCAGGCTTCTATCGTGGACACAGGGCGGTATAACAGATTACTCCCTATCACGTCCA